GCCCCTCCCCTGCAGGAGATTCCTGGCCATTTTAAGAGAAGCCCTGGAATGGCCTTGTCACCAATCTAAATCTGTCCTTGGGACAGGGCCGTGTGAACTGCTATTCAGAGAACTTCCCAGAATAGCTTTGGCCACCTGTTGGGGCCCCTGAGACATCCAGGCCTGGGATTTGACCCAAACAAGAGGTCTCTGGGGGTGGGGGGGGAGGTCAGTGGACGCTGCTAGAGCCCCCTCTCCTGAGGCCCCTGCCAAGTTCTTGTCGCCAGGCCAGATCCACTGCCGGAACCAATGGAAAAGGGGACCTTTGTGATAGGCAATGGGAAGCCCAAGGCCGTGCCATCTCTGATGCTGTGTGACCCTGGCAGGCCAGACACCCTCTCTGGGCCCTGGTGCAGGAGTGGGCCCCAGCTTAGAGGTTCTAGGATGGAGTCCAGGCTGCCTGTGGATGCCTCCTTACCAAGGGGGTGGCGGAGGCCAGGACCACCCTGGGTACATCCGGGCATCCCTTCTTTCTCGCCCCCGCCCCCTCCCCTGCCTTTGCTCCACGCCCCCTCCCTTCGCAGTCCTGCCTTCTGTGCGGTGCCCTGCGCTCCTGCCGGGCCACCCGGCTGACTGTGCCCTTCCCTGCAGGGAAGGCTCCTTAAAGGTGGGCGACAGGTTGCTCAGTGTTGACGGGATCCCCCTGCACGGGGCCAGCCATGCCACCGCCCTGGCCACTTTGCGACAGTGCAGCCAGGAAGCTCTCTTCCAGGTGGAGTACGATGTGGCCACTCCAGGTACATCGGGGACCAGGGTTGGGACAGGAAAAAGTCCGAGGTGGGGGATGCAGGCAGTGGCCATAGCTCCTTCCCATTGCCCAGGCTGTGTGACCTCCAGCCAGTCACTTAGCCTCTCTGAGCCTCTCTAGGCGTTAAATCCTGTCTGGCCGGGGTTGCTTGATGCACCTGGGACCCAACAGGTCTCTGTTCTCCAGAGAAGGTCAGAAAACAGAAGAGATAAGAAACAGTGTGTGTCACCAGGCGCCGTGGCGCATGCCTGTCATCCCGGCTCCTTGGGAGGCTGAGGCGGGAGGATTGCAGGTTTGAGGCTCGCCTCAGGCAACTTAGCAACAAATTGTCTCAAAATAAAATTTCCAAAAAGGAATGGGGTGTGGCTGGGCTTGTGGCTCAGCCGCAGAGCGCTTGGCCTCACACGTATGAGGCTCTGGGTTCGATCCTTAGCACCACATAAAATAATTTTTTAAAAATATTTTAAAAAAATAAGGATGGGGATGTGGTTCAGTGGGGAGACACCTCTGGGGTCCATTTCCAGTACCAAACACACACATGATATGGCATGTGCCAGGCAGCTATTAGCACAGTGTGACAGAAGGAGAAAAGGCAGGGGTGTAGGAGGGGAAAGGCCCAGGGTGCTAACTAGGGTAGTGAGGGAAGGAAGCAGCTGGTGCAAAGGCCCTGGGGCATGAGCCTAGCCGGCTTGACCCGGATGAAGCCCGTCTGACTCGAGCAGATGGGAGTGGATGGGAAGGGGGTAAGAACAGAGGAGGCGGGATCAGAGTGGAAGCCAATCAGCTGGAGGAGGCGACTGTCACTCATGGAGACTGGACCAGGCAGGTTATGGAGGTGGGATACCAGAAAGACCACGGGGATCAGGCTGGTCCGATGGACCAGCATCTGGATGCACAGCAAGTGTGACAGTGGCTCAGGGTGACACGGAGGTTTGGACTTGAAGCCACGGGGTGTGTTCACGGAGGTCCCGTTTGATTTCTAAGACGAGGACAGATCGTAGCCAACATTCATTGCTGGCATACAGCAGGCACTCAATAAATGCAGACAAATTACTATTCACCCTGGGTGCTTCACTACGGGTGCTTCACCACGGTCCCCACCCCCAGCGCTTTTTTATTTTTATTTGGAGGCAAGATCCCGCTAAGTTGCTTAGGGCCTCCCTTAGTTGCTGAGGCTGGCCTCCGACTGGCGATCCTCCTGCCTCAGCCTCCCAAGCTGCTGGGAAGACGGGCAGGACCTGGTTTTCTGGTCCGTCGAGTGGGCATGTTCTTCCCTTTGGGGCAGCAGGTGTTCAGTGGAGAGAGCGCAGAGGGACTGGGAAGGAGGGTGCTCGATATTTGCGTTTCAAACCTGGTTTAAGATTTCTTTCCCCTGGTGCCAGACACGGTGGCCAGTGCCCCGGGGCCCTTGGTGGTGGAAATAGCCAAGACTCCGGGGTCCGCCCTGGGGATCTCGCTGACCACCGGCTCCCACCGGAACAAGCCCGTCCTCACCATCGACCGCATCAAGCCAGCCAGCGTGGTGGACAGGTGAGGCTGTGGGGGCGTGGGCGCAGGGGACAGGTGGCCCGCAGCTCTGACCGGCTGGACGCGCCTTCTCTGTCCCCTGTCTGGCCAGGAGCGGGGCCCTGCATGCCGGAGACCACATCCTGGCCATCGACGGAACCAGCACGGAGCACTGTTCGCTGCAGGAGGCCACCAAGCTCCTGGCCAGTGTGTCCGAGAAGGTGCGGCTGGAGATCCTGCCTGTGCCCCCCAGCCAGCGGCCTCTGAAGCCCTCGGAAGCAGGTAGGTCCCCTCGGCCGCGGTCCTGGCCCCAGCCCAGGGCTGTCCAGAGGGTGCGGAGGACCAGGAAGCCCAGGACTCCAGCCTGGAGGGACGGATGGGGGAGCAGGATCTCACAGAGGGGGACCCCTGGGGCAGCAGAGGCTCGGATGGAGTCCCCTGGGGGTGAGGCTGGGGAAGGGAGGCCGGTGCCAGGGAGCAGAGCCAGGCCCTGGCACTTCCCGGGGCGCAGCAGGTCTCGTAGATGCCCCTGCCCGGGTCCCCTGCTTCTTCCTCTCCCCGTGCACAGGGGAAAGCAGGCTCCGCGGGTGCAGGTGAGCTGGGTCTCCCTGTTCCTAACGCCTGTCTGTCTGCCTGTCTGTCCATCTCTCCCGCTTACCTGTCCACTCCAGTCAAGCTGCAGAGGAGCGAGCCACCCCACCGCTGGGACCCCTGTGTGTCCTCCTGTCACAGCCCGAGGCCTGGCCACTGCAGGACGCCCACCTGGGCCACAGCTGGCGGCCAGGACCGCAGCCGATGTAACGCACCCAAGTGGCCGCTGCAGCCGGCCGGTCCCCTGTGGCTTTCTCCTAGGGAGGGGGGCGGTGTACTAATAGAGGAGAGTAAGACCCAGATTAGGAGGCCTGGCCACTGTCACCCAGAGTGTCAGGAGCAAGATGGGCCACGCCTCCAGAGCAAACCACGCCCCCTGAGCAAGCCACGCCCCCAGAGCAAGCC